CTATATTTTCCGCATTTTACAACATTTTGCAACGAAACTTTGGAATATTACTAATTTTGTGATGCTCCTTCAAGCTGTGATGAAATTTTTGTCTAGACTTGTTTAGTTCAAAATTTAGTCTATTGCGCAAATGGTCAATTGAGGCATTAAAGGCCCATCTCTCCGTTACTGTAAACCCAAGTAGGGAGGCTTGGGGGTGCTATCACATGCTCAAGGTGATCCCCTAGACTTGTGGAGTGAAGAAGCCCATTCCGGACCGACCGTCAGGTAAAGTCTAGCCACTGGCCTAAATGTTGGATATATACGGTATGCACATGTGAGCTGGATCAACCTGTTATGATAAAAATTCTAGTGGCCAGTTTGGCTAATTTGTACTGTGTTTGTACTGTGTGCGTAATGAAATAATTTTAAATCGGCAACCATATATGAAAGTAACTTAATTTTACTACAGGCAACTGTTGTGAGACCAGTTACCTGTAGAGATGCATCTGTGTCTTCACGCAGTAAACTGATGCAGCACAAGCGAACCAGACATCAATACACCCTTCTGGAGAGTGCTCAGTCTTGGCTATAGAGCCACGTTTTCGTGTTTAAGATATTGGGTTTAAAGCCTTTTACCTTATTACGGATGACACATTCACGAAACCATAAAATTATATCAGTGAATATGAATTAAGACCTGTTTAAAATTTTGTAATCAGTAACAAGATAAATGGCACTATTAAAGCCGATGTATGAAACACGGAAACGAGGCTCTATGAGCCATGGCTGAGTACTGTACTTTCCGGAAGGGTGTATTTATTACCTGATTATTTGAAGCGAGAATGACTTCAAGTTTTGGCAAAGAGTACAAAACATCTGGTAGACTTGTAAATCTAAATTAGAAGAAAATTGTTTCCTTAACAGCCGAGGAGGAAAAACTAAAACAGTCAATCCATGGAGCCTTCTTTAAACGTTCATAAGAGCCTGCTCGCAGGCTAACTAATAACATATGCAAGATGCCAATCTTTTCATGACTAAGATTATATTATTAGAATGATTAGTGACGTACCTGTTGTGGGATAAAATAATTTCTCTCAGTTCGGTCAATAATTTGAATTCATCTGGAAGTGAGGATATACTATTATTTCTAGATTCAAAACAAAATGGATAATATTTAGTTTATTTATTGAACGATGTGGTTTGTAGCCACAATTGCCTAATTACCAGATCCTTCTACGCGGCGCTTCAATTCAAAATAAATTAATCTCGCATTACTTCTCAAAAGTTTTAATTTAACATACCGAATATCAAGGTCAGTCAAACGTGACAGGAGACAAAACTCAGGAGGAATTCTGGTTAATCTGTTTGACCCAACGTTAACAGACGTCAGAGTTCCTTCATAGGTGCACAATCTACATGTATGGAAAAACGAGTAATTAGAAATTAGTCAAAATTTTATGAGGAAAATTGAGTAATTAGAAATTAGTCAAAATTTGATGAGGAAAATTGAGTAATTAGAAATTATAATTCTTGCCAAAATTAGAAAACCCCCACAAAACTTTTAAAATATTTTTAATTATTAGTTTCCAAGGACGCAAAACTCTGATAATACCACTTACTTTAATGGAATATCTTCCAATAAATTTTTACTGAAGTCAACATTTGACACACCAGACTCAGTTGCGGCAGACCATATCTCATCAGGGATAGTAACTGCTTTCTTTTGACTGAAAATGAAGTGAAAACTAACATCATGGACTGACTGCAGAATTTTCCTGCACGGATAGTCTTTGTCCGTTTGTCATTAAATCGTTTATAGATTGTACTGTAGGTGCGAAATGGGTGAATTAGTTAACGACTCTCTGAAAGTTTTTTCTGTAATATCCATTCGTTAATGAGTGAAAAGAAAATCATTATAGATATAGTATTCAGTAACGGAAGTAAATTTAGTGATATATTTCCCATGGGTGGAAAGAATAATTTTCTTCCTGCGAGCACTAACTGAGGTTAAAAAATTTCGTGGGGACAATCAAGGTATTTAAATTCCCACTTTAATCTAGCTATAGTGGTTCCCAAGCACTGTCTACTGAACATGTTTTCAAGTACTCTGCTGATCATGTTTTCGAGCATAGAGTATTTTATCCATGCATTTAGAAATGCACCCAGTACCTGTAGCTAAGTTTCTTATTCGTACTAAGCAGATGAGTATTCACTGCAGGAGCTGTTTGTTCTGATGATCCATTCTGTGATTCTTCTTGCTTTTCTTCATCCACTAGAAAATTAGAAAGACGTTATAAAAGACAATTATTCAAAATGCCATATTAATACACATATCATCATTCATTCATTTAATAGACCAATTGCGAAACTTAGTAACCGCGCCTTCGCATAACATGAAAACGAGGCTTATTATGCAAAACACAAAATTCTATTTTTTGTTTTGTTCGAAAGTCAAAGAGTGAGGCACCAAGTTTTATGGCAGTTTTCTCTCGTTTTATCAAGTTTTTAGATACTTTTTCAGCGTATTCAAATCAATTATTATCCTAGTTATTAGTATAGATAGTTTTTTCTTCATCTGACGCGTTTTCGTGGGGTCTTTTTAATCATTATGACGGCGCGGGCCGGTGGAAATATCATGGAAAACATCGAAGCAAACTCAGGTAAGCAAACCTTTTTTGCGAAATAATTTGTTATAAAGTTATTTTACCATTTTTGTGGACCCCAGTTTGATTTTTTAGAACACGTGCATCAATTTAAATCTAATAATCGGTTTGAAATCGGCCAATTTCCGGCGAAAATATTTACGTTTTCTGCAATGCGTTTGTCAAAGGTCACCGTGATTTCACCGCCATTCTTGTTCTGTTTTGAAACTGTTTACATCGCAATTTGTTTTACAAAAAATGGCAACATTTAAATCATGACATAACAAATATAAAAGGAAATTTTAGCTGGTGTGATAAGATGAAATGTCTCATCGATTGTTTGGTTTCTTTTCCGGCGTTGTTTGCATGGAGACATCGACTAATTCACAACAACAACAACAACAACAACAACAACAACAACAAGGGAAATTTGAAACCGAAGTCGAAGAGGCTAGCTAAACAACCTACCTTAGATTCATTTTACAATACTTTTATACAATACTCATACTACATTATTTGTCAATTTGTTTTCTTTTCGTTATTTTTTATGCAGATATCAACGACAAGGAAAATTTGAAGCCGAAATCTACATCAAAATCCCGAGGATTACAATGCTCTTTATATTTCAACTGTATAAACCGTGCATTAGGTGCATACCCTTACCAAACTGACAGATATGTGGCAGGTACATGTCACAGTTTTGTAAAATATCTGCAAAATATGGTTAAGAAAGTATCTGTCACATATCTGCGACATATAGGAATTTGGCCCCATGGCATATCTGTCACAGTTATGTGGCAGATATCTGTTACAGTAAAGTTATATGTGACAGACACCTGTCACAGTTATGTGACAGACGTCTGCCACATATCTGCAACATATAGGAATTTGACCCAATAATATATCCGGCACAGTTATGTGACAGTATAGTTTCCCTACAGATAAAATTGTCTGTATATTATCTACCAAACAGATATGTAACATAACTACCACCAAGTGAGATTTATTTCTACCATAAAATTAAAACTATTTCCTCTTACTTCTGCAACATAAAGTTGCTGCAACTGTACCTCTGCCATGTTCACTTGAAGCCATAATAATTTAATACGAAGAAATACTATCAGAATATTAATTTAATATTAGTAAATATATAATTATAGGTCACACATATAGATAAATTTAAGACTGTATAGTGTAATCAATCATTCACCAGGGGCCAGTTGTTGAAAGCTGGATTAGGTAATTTAGCTTAACCCTATAGCTTAATTCAAAGCAAACTTCCTGACAGCTTGTCAATAAATTTGGAAATATGTCTTCAAAGATCTTGTCTGGATCGATAGGAGTTTTCTTCTTTGACGTTTTGAAATAAACAGACGTTTTGAGATAAACAGACCTGCAGAAATACACAAACTAAAACAGCAGGTTAAATTTTAACTCAGGGTTATCACTAGTCCAGCTTTGAACAACCGGTCCCAGAGTACTTACACATACGGTACTATAACCTACACTTATTTAAAATTTTCTAATATATAATTATATTATTTATGGCCAGAAATAAATATTGAGTATCTAAACGTCAATAATTGTTAATTGTCAAGTCTCACTCAGATGGTTTGCTTTTAGTTTCTCCTCTTCGAGCCCCACATCATTTGTCCTGTACCGTTTTTGCATAGCAGCTGTCTTTCTATAGACTGTATCGTCCAGAGCAAAAGCTGAAAAAATAGGAATTGATAAAATCATATGTTTACATGTTTTAGCTTTAATTACATGTTACATGTTTTAGCTTTAATTGGCATTAAGACAGCAAGAATAATCTAGTGTTAGGCCAAATATGGGATGCCCTTAGGGTAGCCATATCTGATGGGTTACCAGGTATATATTGGCTTAATTTAACCATCTACTAGATTACATTCGATTCAATTAACACTATTTTTGTAAAGTATATATATATTACAGGAGACTTTAGGACTTACTGACGAGTTAGTATATGAAGCATGAAAAGATATGTAAATTTGTTTGGTATCAGACAGAGTAAATTAACAAGACGGAGCACATTAGGACAAATTGCAGGTCAATGGGTCCAGCCACAGCCTTCCCCCTGCATTATTGCAGGCTTATGGACAGCTTTACATGTACTGTACTGACTTATTCATGACAGAAAACTGGCTATTGCACACTGACCCTTTATCTAAACTAACTGTTGTAGTACACTATGCTCAATTTTTGCTATGGCGCAGATAAAATTTGTACCTGTTGTCCTGTACCAAATTTATTTGTGCTCGTCCTGTATGAATATAGGTAGTCCATGCATGGTAAACATGTTAAGGGTACCAAAATTGAGCACAGTATAAACAGGCCTTAAAATGGGCTGCATTTGGAGGTAGGCTTAGGATTCATGTGTAATTGTGTTGATACTATAGTTACTAAATTCTTGATGCAGTATCAAGAAATAATTCCTACAAACAACCTCCTTAGAGGCTGTTTACAAGATCCAGACTGATTATCTGGTCTGGATGGCCACCTTGGCTGGGACAGTTTGCCATTTTCTTCATATAATTAAAGCACTAAAAGCAGACTATTTACTCTTTTTCTTACCTAATACAACACTAGTTTGTCAACTCAATCCAGATATTCCTGATTGTTGAGAACAATATTTGGAGCTGGGCTATAACCTGGCCGGCTCCAACATAATATAGCAAATTTTGTCAAATAACAAATTGACAAATAATATAGTATGAGTATTGTATAACGTTGTACGCTGTTTAGCTTGCCTCTTCGACTTCAGTTTCAAATTTCCCTTGTTGTTGTTGTGAATCCGTCGATGTCTGCATGCAAACAACGAAAAGAAACCAAACAATCGATGAGACATTTCATCTTATCACACCAGCTAAAATTTCCTTTTATATTTGTTATGTCATGATTTAAATATTGCCATTTTTTGTAAAACAAATTGCGATGTAAACAGTTTCAAAACAGAACAAGAATGGCGGTGAAATCACGGCGACCTTTGACAAACGCATTGCAGAAAACGTAAATATTTTCGCCGGAAATTGGCCGATTTCAAACCGGATATTAGATTTAAATTGATGCACGCGTTTTAAAAAATCAAACTGGGGTCCACAAAAATGGTAAAATAACTTTATAACAAATTATTTCGCAAAAAAGGTTTGCTTACCTGAGTTTGCTTCGATGTTTTCCATGATATTTCCACCGGCCCGCGCCGTCAAAATGATTAAAAAGACCCCACGAAAACGCGTCAGTTGAAGGAAAAAACTATCTATACTAATAACTAGGATAATAATGGATTTGACTACGCTGAAAAAATATCTAAAAACTTGATAAAACGAGAGAAAACTGCCATAAAACTTGGTGCCTCACTCTTTGACTTTCGAACAAAACAAAAAATAGAATTTTGTGTTTTGCACAATAAGCCTCGTTTTCATGTTATGCGAAGGCGCGGTTACTAAGTTTCGCAATTGGTCTATA